GGGGCAGAGCCCACGATGGACCGTCTTGCGGGGCTCACGGACGAGGGCAGGATTGGTCTCCTTCGAGAAGGTGCTAAACAGGTAACACACCAACTACCTGTGTTTATTTGATACCCATTTAACTAACATTTATTACATTAAAAGCTAGGCCACTGGAACACTAAGTGGGAATAAGGCCCCGAATAGAAGCGTGCAGCCCCTGACCAAGTACGTCAGGGACTCTCAGCTGAGATTTACACACTCACTGACCTGTGTTGCTGGTCCTTGGCTGTGTTCCTGATACACCAGCTGTGTGGACACAGAGGGTTTTTTTAGTGCCCAAGCCCTTCCCAGGATAGTATTTTCTCCAATGTTTGTAAGAAATGTAAAGACAGCTTTCCGGGTGGGGAAAACAGAGAGGTAGACCAGCTGGCCGAAGGTCACACGGCCTCCGTGGTGAGCTGTGGTTTGACCGCAGTCCTCCGGATCCTGAGGTCGAGGGCCACGGCCACACGGCCCCTCCTCTTGGCGATTCGTGCCAGGTTACAGCCCGTGGCCGTGCCAGGCATGTGTTATTTATATTTGGACACATGCTGTGCGAAAAGACGGACACCCTGCAATTATCTGGTTGTTAGACGCAGCGCACATCTGTGGTAATAACTATAAATAAGACGTAACTTGCCGACTGGGCTGGCTCCTCTTTTAGGAGGACAGTTCCTGCTAAATTAACCTCAGGATGAGACCAGAGAAAGCTCGAATCGTTTCTGGAATAAACACAAAACAAAACAAATCCACACGCCCCAAAAAGCCACAGAGGCTGCCTTCCTTTCCTCCAGGACCAGAAGCGCTCAGGTGCCCTGGGGACAAAAGGCAAATGCCTGCTGGCAACCTGGCTGTCATCAGACTCCTCTGGAGGTGGCAGCCTATGATCCAGGGAACCTGTGGTTCCACAGGATTGAAGAGAAGTCTGAGAGTTTATGCATAAAAGTTAAAATGCGTCGGGAGAGCCAGCCACGTGGATTGCCGGCCTGTCCCTCTTTTCCTGGGGTTCTCCCCGAATTGTCACACCCGTGCCCGGGGAGAGACAGGTGCGCTTTGCGGACAGGACAGGCACCGTGCACTTTGTGATTTTGATTTTTTTCCGACTCAAAGAATTTTCCCTTTTAGATCAGGCTGATGACTTACGGTGCAGGTATTAGTTCGGGGCGAGGCAGTCCCTGTGGCTATATATAGCGCCTCCCAGGCCATAAATGGGAGCGAGGGCTGGGCACTTGGAGGCAGAAGTAGCTGTGCCTTCCTCAGCCAGAGCCGCGTCGTGGGCGAGCCAGGCCGGCCGGGCATCTCTCCTCTGTGCCGTTTTCCTTTCTCTCTGGGTGAGTCTCCTTTTCTTCTTTCCTTCTCTAACCCGGGGCTTTGGAAGAAGGAATAACGACGCATGCCGAGCCGGTAGCGGTCAGGTGTCCGAGGTGGACCTATTCGGGGGAGGGCGCTCCGTTGGACAGACAAGACAGCCAACGACTCGGTCTGCGTCCGTCCTTCCCGGACTAGACTTTATGCTTCCGATGCTTCCCGAGGTCACGGTCGCGAGTGTTAGCGGGTGCGACCCGCTCGGGGCACCTGCCGGCTGACCTGAGCTCTGCGGCGTTTCTCACTGGGGCCCGGAGTCCGTGCCCTTTCTCCAGAGTCTGAGCCCTGAAGGAGTCTGTGGGGGCAGTGCAGATTGAAAAGGTGTGGTATAAAAGGTTATTTTCTGGAGAGAAGGAGGAAGCAGGGACATTAGTGTGGTCTTGGACCCTGGTGTCTGGGGGAGGGGAAGAAGGCTCACTGCCAGCTCCCCACGCCGCCTTCTCCGTGCTCTGTGATGAGCGACAGTCCCGCAGAGTCTCTGGGCTCGGTGCCCTCGGCGGAGCCGGCGTGCTCCCTCCCGCCCTTGGAGGTGCGTCCACGAGGGAGGCGCTGGGGCGGGGGCCTGTGCGCAGAAGGGTCACTTTCCCACCTCCTGGGTCCCAGCTCTCGCTTCCCGGACACAAGTGACACAGGCATCCAAGAGCGAGTGGAAGAAAGATAATCGAAGTTTTAAGTAAACCAGGTCTGGGTCACATTTGCAGCGAACTTACCGGAAACTAACGCTGAACGGGGGACCTTCACCCACACAAAACCCAGAGACTCTGTGCGTAAAAGTTCACGGCACTGGAATATTTCCGGAGCTGTTGGTTTGTTTCTAGTTCTCTGAACTTGTGAAGAAATGGCAACCGTCTCTCGTCCAGGAAGCTGCACACGATCTTGTTGCTTGATCGAATTTGATCCTGCTTCGGCATCAGGACACAGGGACTCGGGGTCCTTGGAAGCCGGAGAGCCCTGTGGCCGCGAGGGCAGGCCTCTGCCGTTCGGGTCACGGTTCCGAAAGATGATTCGGAGGAATGCTGGAGAAATTCAGCTGCCAGACATTAGACGTCAAACTGTATTAGATTTGTCATCGAGGCTGATTTTAAGAGTGGTTCTGTGCTCAGTTGTTTTTTGGTGCCAAGTCGTTTGGAAAAAGCTTCAGGGAAAGTAGACCTCGGTGTGAATGAGGGTGGGTACAACGTGTCTCGGGGCCTGAGGGTTGAGTTACCTGGGGGGCATCGGCCCACTGTGGGTGCCAACCAAACCTTTTCCTTCCTCTAGAAAAGCTTTCACTTGGTACACTCATTGACTTGGACATTTTTAGCTGCACAGGCCACAGCTTCTTTTATTAAATGGAAATAAATGCATTGTGGTTGAAATGCGTCCACAAATTCAATTTCTTCTTGGTGGCAGGGAAGGCGGGTTCCAAATATCGTTGGCAGGAAGGGATTAGGTCTAAGCATGTCACAGACGCACGGTCTCCTGTACTTGAGGACAGGCTCGCATTTCACTTTGGTGTCCTAATTCCCAAACGTGTCAGAAGCGTTCCGTGAGTGGCGGGGATGGGTGTGGGCAGGTGGGCACAGAGTCACAAGTGCAAGGTGGGACGTCGGCTCTTTTTCCGACGAGCCAGTGACCCGGGCAGATGATTTTTACCATCTGAAACTCAGTTTCCTCGCAGGGAAGGCTGAGATCCACCCAGGACAGAATGAGATCATCCGTGGCAAGTTGTGGAATCGCTCTGTGGTTTCAGATAAATGCCTTGCGACCCAAGGCTGCAGCTGCGAGCATGTGCTGAGCCTGCAGGGATCTCGGCATGCCCCGTCTGGGGCGGTCAGGGACAACGCGGAGGCACTGAGACGTGAGGTCCACTGGGCGGGGAAGAGGTCGAGCGGCCTGGACGTGGGCGTGGGCCGCGTGGTGGTCCTGCCGCTCGGTCTGGGTCACCCAGGGGATTGGGAAAAGCCAGCACAGGCAGGAGGAGCTGAGGTCGCTGGCACAAGGCTCAGATGTAAGACGTGACATCATCCCTGGGGCAAGGGGGGGCCTCTAAGACGGCCCCGTCCTTGACATGCAGTGGTTCTGTGATTCAGGCGTGGCCGCCACGGGGCAGGGGCTCCACGTGTTTGTGGCCTGAAAAGTGGGCAGAAGTGAGGATAATTGCATTTGCAGGGTCCTCGGAAGCCCCTGGTTTTGATGGCCATCTGCACAGTGTGTCGTGAAGTGAGCAGAGAGCAGATGTGGGATCAGTGCAGTGAAGTGCTCTCTTCCTGCCCTGCCCAAGGCCGTCTGGGGTCGGGAGAAACAGCGATAGCAGGTCTAGGAGTCGGAGCGAGGACCACCGGAGCCGTGTGCGCTCGATTCCGGCCCCACCTCGCTAATCAGTACAAAGTGTATGCTCCTTGAACGGGGAGTGTTGAGGACTCCCAGACCCGCACAAGCACACGCCGAGTTAAGTCAGAACAGAAGCACGGGTCCCCTCGAGTGTGTATTACCCTCCTCTGGGTACCGGCTGCCACAGTTTAGACATGTCAAGATAGCGTATCACCTCTTATCGTCGGGGCCATTTCTGGGCTCTTCCCTTCACGGAGAAATGCAAACGCGTTTGAAGGTTGACTCAACAGCAACGTTAGCAAGTATTGAGATGGGACGTGACCACCTGGCATCACAGCACCTGCGGGCATCGTCCTGGATCGGTGCCATAGAATTTTCCTCCGGCCCTGCGGGTGCGGTGGGAGAAGCCCGAGACAGGAAGCTGGTTCAGAGTGGTGCAGTGTGTCCCCCGACCCCGGTCTGACTTCGGTTCGTGAGCTTTCCGCAGCACACGGGGGACTCCGGACGCAATCAGTGGAGGCCACGCGGTTGTGGGCAGGAAGCTTCTCTTGAAGATTCACCTTGCTGAACTCGCCAGAGAACCCACGGGGATGCCATCGAGGACGTTTCAGATAGTCAAGTGACAGAATGCATGTTTTTCAGATACCTTTTCCTACCCACAGCGTCCGGCTGGAGAACAGCGACAGCACGTAGCGTGACGGGGACAGCTGCCGATTTTGGTTGTTGGAGACCGCGTGCCAAACGTTCCACAGAATCCGTTCAGAACCCCGGGGTTACAGCAGCGAGAGAGTCACCCGCGGCCACGTCACCGGGCGGGGCTCAGGATTCAGACCTCGGTCTGCCCGATGTCAAACCTGCGGTCTTGGCCTCAGCGCTAGAATACCTGTGTCAGAGCTGAGGTGGGTGGAGAGGCGCCTTTTTCGCTGTGTTCCACTAGACGCCACGTTCTGTTGCGTATTTGTAATCAGATTTATGCTGTAAAAACACATGCCCGGCCCTCAGTGGACCCGTGGAGGTTGGTTGACTGGTTGGTCTTTAGGAGGAAACATTGGTATTCGTGTGGCAAAGGGTCAGAGGTCCAGAAATAGAAGTCTGAAGCCCTTTCTGCATGATTCCGGGGGAGGCATTGCTCCCGTCCCCACCCCCAGTACAGTGGGGGCGGAGATAATCCCTAAGGATCTTCCCGAGCCCTGCGATTCTGTGACTCTGGGAGATCACAGTCTACAGGGATCACCAGCAGAGCGCCTGGAGGGTTTTGTAACACCCGCGCCGAGGTCTGAACGGTGGCGGAGGCCAGGCCGTTTCACCTCAGAGCCGCACCTGCGTGTTGACCACTCCTGGTCTCCGTTCCCGTTGTCCCCCAGCACTGCCTTGCCTCTGCGTTTTCTTCTTCGAGTGGGGGGGATGAACTTACACACAAAGGACCAAAGTGGAGCTCGGATTGAGAATTCCTTCGCCCCTCGGTTTGGGGGGTTAGGGGTCACCGAGATGGAGGCATACTGCCTGTGTCACGCTTCGGAGACGGCCAAATAGCCCAGTGAGAAGTGGCGCTTTGTTCATTGTGGGTGCAGGTGGCCCCGTGGCCAGGTGCCAGCACTGCTGCAAATTCCCAGACGCCGCACCGCAGGACGAATTCTCAGGGAGTTTGACCAAGATGTGTCGCGTGCCCGCGCCCCCCTGGCTTCCCTGCTGGGCTCAGCCCTGCTCCCGCCCACCCCAGCCGTGGGCATCTACAAGTACCCTGCGTGGATCTGGACAGCGTCCTGGAGACGAATTCCCTTTCCAGGTCACCGTATGTGGTTACAAGCTTTCCAGAGTGATTTCTTGTCCCGTCTCTTCAAGTATCCTGAGATCCTGTCTCCCCGCCTCCTACCTGCGCTCATGGGATGCCCTTCTCTCTGCCCCGTCTGCATCTGTCAGCCTATCCATCTGTCAAGGCTCTTCTCAAATGTCACCTACTTCAGGGGACCTCATTTGGCTGCCCTCTCTCCTGTTACATGTGCCCCTCCTAGCTTCCCAGGGCGTGTGTCCCTCTTTCCACTCTTATCTTGTATTCTAAGTATTTGTTTATTTCTCTAATCTGTGTTTTACCTATTTTTATCCTTGTCACTCACACTGCCTTTCACGTTGCCTTGGATAAACGGGGCGTTGTGGAAACATCTGGTGAGCTCACAATGAAAAGAAACCTACAACCCAATCTTCTAATTTCCAAAGAACCAAACAGAAAATGATGTCGGACCCCAGGGAACTTGATAGGTGTCTGGTCTCCCAGCCAAAAATTATTTTCACTTACATAACGTTTCTTCCATCTGTCCCTCCCCCGAAGGGGTTTGATGGACTGAATTTGGTTTCCCCCCTTGGAACAACCCGACATGTTGGTGTAGACACTGCCCGGGCAGGACTGCACGGGGGATGGAGCTCAGCACCGTCCGCCTCCCTCCTTACTCGTAGGTACCCACCGAGATGTCACTCGCCGCAGTGCCCTTCTACCAGAAGCGACACAAACACTTTGACCAGTCGTACCGCAATGTTCAGACGAGGTACCTTCTGGATGAATATGCTGCCAAAAAGTAAGTTGAAATTCAGCGGTTAGACTGGGAGGGGTTGGGTCGTGTGGGTCTGGCGTCCGGTCCCCTGCAACCTGGACGGGAGCGTCGGGAGGGTCAGAGATGGCAGGCCCCCTGACGCCCGCGCCCAGCACCCCAGGGGAAAGCTAGTTCTCCTGGCTGCACCGGAAGCTCCAGGTTGCGCACCTGGGATCCCGGTAGATGCCGGTAGACTGGCTCTGAGCCCCTAGTGTAGGTGATGAACACAGAGACTTTTTCGTAAGTGCTCCTTGACTTTGCTCTTCTCTACACATCTTCCAGAACTAGGATCCAGAAAGTCTAGGGGGCCTGGGTGGCTCAGTTGGCTGAGCGTCTGATTCTTTTTTTTTTTT